ACCGTTAGATGAGAAAATGAACGATTAAGATGGGTTAGCATAGTTTGCACAAAATATTGGGTTAGTATTTGAACCAGCCCCTATATAGATATATATATATATATATATATATATATATAGGGAAAGATTCATTTGAGAAGTATTAAATATTTGAGACGTAAAGAAGTGATCCTAGCCATTCATTTGGTCAACATTTGCGGCTTTGACCGTGAAACACCGAATAATTCCTCGCATGAGTGTGCAGAAGATAGAAGGATAGCTTCGTAAATTTTACAAATAGATGGAAAACATGTTCATATGTGAACCCATGTAACACACACATGAACTATATGTTCATATATGGAACCCGTATTAGTTCACATGTGAACTATTTATCTGATTAATATATGAACCCACAAGTTCATATATGAACCCGTTAATTAGTTCACATGTGAACTATTCAACTTATTCATATATGAACCCATAGGTTCATATATGAATCACACGAGTTTATATGTGAATCAATTAATTAGTTCATATGTGAATTACACGAGTTCACGTATGAACATATAATCTATATGTTAATCACAAAGGTTCATATATGAACATGTTTTCTGCCTATTTGTAACAAGTACGAAACTACCATCTTTATGTTTCACATAAACGCAGTTTTTGACCAGTCAAAGTCGTAACTGTTGGTCGCAAGTATTGACCAGTCAAATCCAATATTGACCATATAAAGGGCTATGATCACTTCTTTACTTCTCAAATATTTACTACTTCTCAAAATAACCTTTGGCTATAATATATATATATATATATATATATATATATATATATATAGTGGCTTAATCATTTGAGAACTTCAAAATTTTGAAGATCCGTGAGAACTTCTATCTTAAGGCTTTGTTTGACATAATCTTTTTCCATTTAAGTATAGTATTTAGTATATCGATTAACATATTTTTTTTTTTCACAATGCGTTTGTTTTATATGTATTCTTTTCACAATGTGAAACTCTTTTACATGTATTTTTTGTTTCAAAAACACGCAAAAAAGGTTCATATTGTGAACCGAGTGTTGGAAATTTGTAGGTTGGAAGTTAACCTTCCATACTACATTGGTAGAGACTTGATTTCTAGAGAAGCTTATAAGGATTTCTCTAGAAGTGGGCTTTGAACATGTTACTGGACTCATGGTGGGGGTCTTGAGTGGAAGGCCCAACACACATGCGCGCATAGCCGTGGCCGAGACCGAGGGCGCGGGATTCGCGAAAGTGGCGTGAGGAGGCGCACTTTGCACTTCGCATTTAAACTGATATTTATTAAAGATAAATCCGGAATTTAATTTTTTTTGACCGAGTCTTATTTTCTTTAGAGATAATGGTTCGGTTGAGGATTTTTCTCACCACTATCTCCGATTTTTTGGAGATAATTGTGGGCCTTGTTAGTCCCGAAGGGAATGACAATAAACAGAAAGTAATTGTAGAAGGGGGGTTGAATACAATTACACAGACTTTTTTCAACTTTTTAATTCTTATTGATTTATATCAAGAATTAATACACACAGAAATACAAAAGATTGTTGCGGAAGATAKGAAAGGAAAACCTAACCTAAACAATCTTACAATGAGAAGAACTTTCAAGAACAACACAGAGAGTTCTTGAAAGGAAATGAAGAACACTAAGAATTTCTT